AAAAACATAAAGCACAATAAAAATTTTGTGTGCTTTTTGCTCTCCTTTCCCCAAAACAGTGCATAAAACCCCCGGGGCGACATTACGGCACGGTAATTTAGATGCTTTATGGATTCAAGGTAATCAGTTAAAGCTCTGTACAAAATTTCGAGCTCTTGATATCTTACCTGCTTCGAGATATGAGAGGATTACAGTTTTCTGAGCGAGAGATCACAAGCACTTGAAAAAGTCCCAGCTTTATTGTGTGATGCTTTAATTCACTTAATCCACCTTGTAACGTGCTTAATCATGGATACTTTCCATTTTAAACCATTGAATTAACGGGCTGTAAACAGAGCTATTCTACTTCTGCTCCTATCTAGGATGCAACTCACAGCAAATGGTAAACACCCACGTTTTTACTGATGAGTGAACGCTTAAGATTCTATTCGCCCAGGATTGAACTTGGATTCTTTCGGTTGTGAAGACGTTACCACCGAGCTACCTGAAAAAATATACTTGAACTTTGTAATGTTATGTCGATTAGCAAAAATATTGCTACATCTTTTCTCTGTTCACTTCGTTCTAAAAAAAAAATACATGACTGAGTCTTGTATTCTGCTTCGTCTTTTTTCTCTCCCTCAATCCTATCTTACTGAAACAGCTGAAATGTTTCACATTTACACAGCGTTATTTTGACTCGCCCAACGTTGATATCTAAGTTTTTCAACCTCCTTTAAGGAACCTTTTATGCAGATTTACGTAAGAGAGATTTAGAGCGATTGAGAGATTCTGAGAAGTGGAGAGAGGGAGGGATTATAGGAGGGAGAGAGGGAGGAAAATATTAGAGGGAGAGAGAAATTGAGGTGAAAACTGTAAAGGTATTGAAAGGGAAATTCGACATAATAAATGCTAAACAAATGAAGAAACAAATATATGAAACAAAAAGGATCATATACTAAAAAATCAAAGAAAAGAACCAGAGGAAACGCACAGCAAGATGAACAGTCGAAAGTCAGAGAAAATGAAACCGACTTCTGCAGATGTGGGTAACTCACGAAAGAAGAGACAGACACAGAAGAAGGAAAAAGACACAGAAGAAGGAAAGGCAGAAGAATGAAAAAGACACGGAAGGAGGAAAAAGACACAGAAGGAGGAAAAAGACACAGGAGGAAAAAGACACAGAAGGAAAAAGACACAAAAGAAAGAAAATACACAGAAGAAAGAAAATACACAGAAGAAAGAAAATACACAGAAGAAAGAAATTACACAAGAAAATACACAGAAGAAAATACACAGAAAACGAAAATACACAGAAGATAGAAAATACACAGAAGAAAGTAAATACACAGAAGAAAGAAAATACACAGAAGAAAGAAAGAAAATACACAGAAGACACAGAAGAAAGAAAATACGCAGACGAAAGAAAAGACGCAGAAGAAATAAACAGAAGAAAAGACACACCTTTGATACACCTTTGAAATTTCGAGTTTCACTACTCTCGGAGCCCGACCATGGGCCAGGCTCGTCTAGTGCTTGCCTGGTCAACCAGGCTGTTGCTGTTGGAGACTCGCTGCCCCACATATGGGAGGGTGTTGGTACCTTGGGGAACTGAGCTTTTTACCTAGTTGATAATGGATCTTGCTCTGTTTACTACTCTGTGTTCTTTGCGTTAGGAGCCCGCCCCGAACCCACTCCATGATCGCATTTGTCAAAAGCCTTTGCAAAATCTGTGTAAATCACATCTGCGTTTAGTTGTTCTTCCAATGCCTCCGTAATTTTGTCATAATGGTTCAACAGCTGTGACAGGCATGATCGTCCTGCTCTAAAACCATGCAGATTCGGTTTATGCTGGTTGTGCTGCTCCATGAAATTTATCTGCCGTCTCATCACTCTTTCGAAGATTTTTATGTGAGAAATTAGGGCTACTGGTCTGTAATTTTTAGCTAGTGCTCTACTACCTCCCTTGTGCAAAGGACCTATGTCTGCACTCTTTAAGGCCTCCGGTATTTCATCTAGATTTAGGCTCTTTCTCCAAAGAATACTGAGGGCTCGTGCTAATGGTAGTTTGCACTTCTTTATAAATAGGGCATTCCATGAATCCGGTCCAGGTGCTTATGAGTGGGCATTTTGTCCATTTCTTTTTGGATATCTATAGGATTTGTACTAATGTCAATTAGTTGGTCTCCGCGGCTTTCGGCCGGAGTGAAAAATGTTTCTGCATTCTCTACCTGTTCTTATAGGATTTCACTCATTTCCTGTTCATCGTCAGTATACCCCTCTCTCAGTAGTGGTCCAATTCTACAGATAGTTCTTAGCTTGGATTTTGCACAGGAATAGAAATATTTTGGGTTTCTTGCATTATCCTGTATGGCCTTTTGTTCCCTTTGTATTTCTTCTGTTAGATATGACATCCTAAGTTTTTTGCTCTAATTCAGTGATCTCTCCTCTAAGACTATCTTTCCTCTGTTGCAGCGTGTGTGTGTTTTTAAGCCATTCTGTAACCCGTTTTCATCTTCTGTACCATCTCCTGCGCTCTCTCTCTATATCTGATCTTCTGGGTTTCCTCAATGGTAGGTGCTTCATACAGACCTTGTATGCTTCTATCTTCAGATTCTCTAGGAACTGGTGGGGATTTAGGGTGCTCATTTTTGATTCTCAGGCACAGAAGAAAGAAAAGACACAGAAGAAAAAAAAGACAGAAGAAAAAAAAAATACCTCAGATGGCATCAGCACAGATTAATGAAACTTAAAATATTTTTCTAAGGATATATGAAGATATGGGTAAAATTGTATGTACCCACACCAAAGAACTGCTTCAACAATCTAATAAATTTAAAATGTCACTCTCAAGAAATATGTAATTTCTACCATCCTAAAATACGAAAAAAAAACATACTTCAGGAAGGATTATATTTTTAGGAGTAAAGAATAAGGGAAAAAAAGAAACAGTCAGGCTCGAAAAAGATAAAAAAATATGGAGACAGCAAGAAGCACAGGAATACAAACTGGGAAAACACAATTACTACATTCCTCAAATACTACAACTATGACCCAAACCGGATTAAGCAAAAGTACTTACAAATTAACATAAAACAGGATGGAAAAATACTGGACATACCAAGAACCCCAGGACCAATGGCAGCCCAACTGCTCTCACCATCAGTACTAAATCAGAAAACAATACAACTAATTCAAAGCAACCCAAGTAGTTTATTCTCATTCTCTCTCTCTATCTCTCTATCTCTCTCTCTCTCTCTCTCTCTCTCTCTCTCTCTCTCTCTCTCTCTCTCTTACAAATACTCAAAGCCTAAAAACAACGATGAAAAATAAAAGTTCCTTTCAGAAATGGTGTCCTCATAAAAACACAAGCAAATTATAGAGCATTCAACCCACATGTAGATCGAAGTCTACATCACGACACAATGTGATAATACAAGTAAATAAAATTTACCAGGATTGTTTCGGAGTCGACGCTCTGGCGACCTGGTGGATGGCCTGATCAACCAGCTGTTGGTGCTAGGCGCACGGAAATCCTACGTATGCACCATAGCCTGGAAGATCAGGAACTGACTTGAAAGACTTATCAAATAAGTCTTTACGGGCGAAAGGAAAGGTTTGAAAAGTTTTACAAGGGGATGTTAGTATACATTATTCCATCCTAAAGAGAACAAGTGTCTTAATTTTCTTGTTTTAAAGGCTGTAGTTATCCATTCAATCATTTTCCTTACGGCTTTGATAACACTGTAGTAATCCTTCAATGTGAGATTTTCTGACATCATTCCTGTCTCAAACATTAAACTTGAGCGACTCGATTTTGTGTGCTTCGTTCCAGTTTTTTTCTCATTTTTCCCATGAGTAACAAACTTATCCTCATTAAACTTTCATACAAATTCTAGCTTGCATAGGACGATGCCGTGATGAAATTTGTCTCTACGTCGGATACCAGAATGAGAAAAAAAATCATGGCAAGTACTGTATCTTGGTAGGGGGGAGGGCAGCTTTTCACAGCAGCAGCCTCTGAGAAGAGAGGAGGAGGACGAGGGGAATGAGAGAGGAGGAGAGAGGAAGAGAGGAATGAGAGAGGAGGAGAGAGGAAGAGAGGAATGAGAGAGGAGGAGAGAGGAGGAGGAGGAGGAGGAGGAGAGAGGAGGAGGAGAGAGGAGGAGAGAAGAGAGGAGAGAGGAGGAGAAGAGGAGAGGAGGAGAAGAGAGGAGGAGGAGGAGGAGGAGGAGAGAGGAGGAGAGGAGGAGGAGAAGAGGAGGAGAGAGGAGGAGGAGAGAGGAAGAGAGGAGAGGAGAGAGGAAGAGAGGAGAGGACGAGAGAGGAGGAGGAGAGGAGGAGGAGAGAGGAAGAGAGGAGAGGAAGAGGAGGAGAGAGGAGAAGGAGGGGGAAAGGGGAAGGAGAGAGGAGGAGGATGGGAATTAGTGAGGAGGGGAAGGAAAGAGTAGGAGGGAAAGGAGAGAGGAGGAGGAAGAGAGAGGTGTCTTTAGCTGAAAGACTCGGTTACACAGAACCACTGAAAGTGAAGACCAAAATTCTGGTAATTATGTTTGTATACAAACCACCACCAGCAACGGCAGAGTAATTCACCGTATGGAGTACATAAATAGCCGCCTTGGAAATGTGGAAAATCCTTTACAAAATATTAATCTCCGTGGAGATTTCAATTCCCTTCCCCAATGTATTATGGAAAGTGACAGACATCACTGTACCTAAAACTGTACCGGCAAATTCTCTACCCCAGTGCTAGTCACCGTTTTTTTTTTTTGTGTGTGTGTCAGCCACTCATAGTAGAGAAATTGAAACATCCACCCCAGTTGGCGATCATTTTCCTGCACTGATGCAAAACTCAAAATTCAGTTAAGGGAGAGGGAAAAACAACAACAGTAGTTTGATTTTTAGTTACCATTTTGCATCGTAGTATAATCATCGTATCTCTTGCAATTAAAAATCATTCATATTAAAGAAAAATAATAAATAAGATAATATAATTATGAATATGTAATTCGGTGGCTTGGTTGTTGATGTACTTTGTATCAGCTGAAATTATTCCACCTGACGACTCGCGTACACACGCGCCCAGCATGTAATGACCTACAATCCAATTTTTTTTTTCTCAACTTACTGAATATTCTATGTTTTCACTGAGTCTGGATACAATCCACAACTTTGACATCACTGAGAAGCTCAATATTTCTCTCACTGGTTGTTACAGTCTAATTCAGTCGCTTAGCAATAGGGAATCTCTTTGAATCATTAACTGAATTCGGACACACCTTGGTGATACAGCATTAAATTTTCCTCAACACTACTGATTGCTCTATTGTTCTTGCCTCATTCTGACAATTCAATACCCTCTTCAATCACAGAATTTCTGGAAAATATTCTCTATTGTTTCTAATCCGAGTTGGATGCTGCAGTATACAACTGTGGTCTTATCCGCCTCTGCAGAAGATTCAGAAAAATTACAATTATGTAATGAATTTTATCATTGCGAACATTAAAATAACACCATGCTCAACAACATATGTCATTGCTTAGATATGTGAATAATGAAGAACGAACACAATATAAAACGCAACATGATCTCGCAGGAAAAAAAAAATTGGGAAATATAATATTACTTATGTCATTCAGAAAACACAGTGAAGTAAGTGCAGCAAAGACCAGAAATATAACAGGGTGGAAAATGAGAACTTTCTGCTCTCACAACTAAAATATTACTCTGTGCTCACAGCTCCGTTCAAGACAGGAAGGATATAGGAGCTGGTAAATAAACATAGTTATTAAAATACTTAAACTCGAGGAAATGGATCAAAGTACTTTGATTGTACACAATGGAGTGAAGAACAGAGAAATACCTAATAATAATCACCTGGAAGATATTGGATGACCTGTTCCCGAATCTACAAACTATAATGACAACTTCGAGTGAGAGATATGGAATCGTAAAATAAATCCAGTGAAAATCAGGGGCGACAAAGGCACAATAAGAGAAAGGGGAGTCAACATCAGTTTCCCAAAACTCGTCAACCTACTACCAACAGAAATCCTAAATATTGCTGGAACAAATAAAGAAGTCTTCAATAGAAAACCAGATCAATACCTCCGGTAAGTGCCGATTAACCAGGCTGTGATGGATACGTGGATCAGAGGGCCTCTAACAACCTGGTTGAACAGGCATTCAAAAGGCCTGGTTGTTAAGGTAGAAAAACCCTCGAAATTGGTCACAGGTATATCAATCACGGGAGGGAGGGGTAAGAGTGAAAGGGAGGGAAAGAATGAAAAGTCATATAGAGAAAAAGAATGAGGGAGAGAATGAGGACAAACTTATGGATTAAATGTGGAAGAGAGATTAAAGAGGGCAGTGAGGGATTACGGGAGGTTGGGGGTGGAGATTAAAGGAGGAAGTAGTGATTAAAGCAGTGAGGGCGGGAGGTAGGTATTAAAGAAATGAGGGAAGGAAGAGGGTATTACAGGAGGACATGAGAGAAAAAGGGTATTACAGGAGGGCATGAGAGAAAGAGGGGAGAGGAGTATTACAGGAGGGCATGAGAGAAAGAGGGGAGAAGAGTATTACAGGAAGGCATGAGAGAAAGGGGGAGGAGTTTATTACAGGAGAGAGTGAGAAAGTTAAAAGAAGTGAGGGAGTATTAAGGAGTGAGGAAGGGAAGGTGTTGAAAATGATGGAGGCATTAGAGAAGAAATTGAGGAAAGAAGATATTAGAGGAAGGGGGATTAAAAGAAAGAGGGAGGGATTAAAGGAGAGATTTAGGGATTAGAGAGGGAGGGATTAAAGGAGAGTGTCAGGGATTAAAGTAGAGAGGGAGGGATTAAAGGAGAGGGGGTGGGATTAAAGGAGAAAGTCGGGGATTAAAGGAGAGAGTCAGGGATTAAAGTAGAGAGGGCGGGATTAAAGGAGAGAGTCGGGGATTAAAGTAGAGAGGGAGGGATTAAAGGAGAGAGTCGGGGATTAAAGGAAGGGGAAAAAGATTAATGGAGGAAGATGTATTAAAGGCGAGAGGGATTAAAGGAAGAAGATGGGGATTAAAGATGGGAGATATTAAAAGAGGGATGGAATTCAATTCAAAGTTTATTCTCTATAAGGATTACAATGTTGAGTTTACAGAATTTGGTTATTGTGTGGTTTACATGTAGTAAAATAATTACAGAGTGTACCACTAGAACACCTAGCATGGCTAGGCATTTCGGGCAGACTTATATTAAATCTTAAGTTTAAAATATTACAAAATTATGAGGTAAGTTGGTATTATGGCTAAGTGACTAAATACTAGTTGTGAGTTTAGCAATGTGAATGCTTTTGTTTTGGCACTATACATAGTTTCAGTATTGGAGTATCACAGGCCAACTTATGACTAGTTAAGATTCATTATTTTGAGATTGAGATTGATATTTCTGTTTATGGTCAAATGGGTGAGTGAGTGTAAGTGTGAACCACCAGGTGGTATTCGTATTATTAGTTGACAGGGTGTATCAGGGAGATGAGATGTTTTCTGATGGTAGTCTTGAAGGTGATGAATGTGTCTGCAGTTTTGGAATTTTCAGGTAGGGTGTTCCAGATTTTAGGGCCTTTGACATACATTGAATTTTTGTAAAGGTTTAGTCGGACACGGGGAATGTCATAGAGATGTTTGTGTCTGGTGTTGTGCCTATGGGTTCTGTCACAAATATCAAGAAAGCGTTTTAGGTCAAGGTTAATATTGGAATTTAAGGTCCTGTAGATGTAGATTGCACAGTAGTAAGTGTGGATGTAAGGAGGTATTATAGGGGACTTAAGACTAAGGGAGGGACTAAAGGAAAGAGCAGATGAAGGAGAGAAGGATTAAAGGTCAGATCAGATGGAGAGAAGGATTAAAGGTCTGATCAGAGGAAGAAGAGAAAGGATGGAAAAACGTAGATTAAAGGAAGGAGGAAGGGCTTAAGAAGGGAGGGAGGGAGTTCGAGGCAGTAGGGAGCACGAGGCAGCTGGGTACAGTCTGGCTCAGAGAGCTGGCAACTGCCACCAGCTGAGCACACACACACTATCAATGGTAGGAGAGGCTGGCTTCCTTTCCTCCTCCTCCTCCTTTCTTCGTCTCCTCCTCCTTTTTTCTCTTTTCTTCTTCTCTCACCTCTTCTCTCCTCCTTTTCACACCATTCCTCTCCCAGTCTTCCTCTTCCTTCTCATTCTTTCCCTCCCCGGCATCCTACTAGTCCGCCACCTCATACTCTCCTTCATACTCAAGTAACATTCAGGTCAGTGTGAACGACACAAGAGGACAAAACGACCTAACGACAGCAGAACGACGTGCAATAGAAAAAAAAACACTGTAAACCAGACTCTGTAAAAGACTAAGGAGGAGGCTATTGGATTCCCATGAGAGAAGAAAAGTTGTCTGAGAAAACCCGAACTGATTTAGCAAGGGGAAGCCCCGTCTTACAGACCTACTGGAGTCCTAAGAAAGACTTAGGGAGATAAGAGAAAATAGGCAGGGCGATGGAGCTATGGTAATAAGACTCTTCATAGACTGTAAGAAACCATTTTCAATAGTA